ACACATCAGAAGCATTAAAGTGCTGCGTGAGTCAGTCACCGGAATCTGATTCCCCCACGTGGGTCCTGATGATGCAGGATGAGAAAATATAATTGCCAGTTCAAATTACATCTTCAGTCAAATACCAATTGGGAAATTTGCCTTCAAAAATGAATTCCTCAAAATCAGCATCATGTAATTGGATGCATTTCTTGTGGCTTTGATACTGCACCTTAATTATCATTTCATCTACAACATGAGCCTCGAGTGAAAATGAGGTACAGCTGACCATTTCTTAGATATCCTTTCAATGCACATAATAATAGTCTAAATAACTGAAAACAGTCACTCGATCATTCAAATGCTCTCTGGTGTACCGAAAAATATAGTTTTTGAACTAAAGCTTGTGGGTATGCCGATGTTCTTACTGCCCGACAGGTCTGGAACTTCATTAACGCACTGAAAAACACACAGAATGATCCCTTTACACAAGCTTCCCTGTTATGGCACGAATTCTCAAGCTTTACTGAATAGTAGGCAAATCCAACAGGTGCATCTATAGCTTACCCAAGGCTCGACACCAACACTTGCCCTGGGCCAGTTAACTCTGTTGGGGCAAGTGGAGTTCCTCGTGCGATTGGGCAGGTAAATAAATGTGATCTTTATTCGGGGCTGATATTCAGTCAAATACGCACTCGGGAGATTGGCCTTAATGCTTTCTGTTCGCCGATCCCTTAAACGCTACATTATAAACAACAAATCAGTTGAAATTGGCAAGAGGAGAGCTAACGTTAGCTGTTGCAGCACAGTCCCGCTTGGCTATAAAATAAAATTTTAATAAAAAAAAAAAAAAAAAAAGCAAAAAACTAATAGCAACAGTGTCAAAAACCAGGTAGTTCCCACATGATATATATTTAATGTAGCCGTTATATGTAGCTGTTGCCAGAGGTGTTATCTCGAAGTCTGCTCCCCCGTCGATGCGTGTTTCCGTCCTGTGTTGGTTCAAGTTGATTTCGGGGAAAACTATCAACGGGAAACATTATTCGACACAACACCCGGTCCAGCTCCATTCTGTTTACCTGGTACTATGTCGGGCCAACAATCAGACAGGAGTCAAACAACAGCTGCAGAGAGACATGAACACACAGAGACAGAAGAAGATGAATAACAGTTATTACTACATTATTTTGTAGTTGTGTCATGTAATTCTCTACCATTCATTTCTCAGTATGTTAGAGTATGGACGTTTATTAGGTACAGTTTCAAAGTAGTTCCTGAATACAGATGAAATGTACTAAATGTAATGTGTTTTAATAACAATAGCCCATCACAATGTTGCTCAGTTCTTTAAAAGTACAGTTTGCTTTACACCAAGTGATCCAGTAAAACAAGTACTCTATGCTCCACTAAGCACCGAGTTCTCTTGTCATAACTTTTGGGCTAAAGAAGTAGTTTGTATCCCAACAAAGGAGCATCTCCAGGAATATTATCTTTGGGACTTGGTTTTTGGTTTTTCCAAGTTGTAGCAGAAATATTTCTCTTAAGATAAATCTAAAGATGAGTCTAGAAGTGACGCGTGATATTCTCCTCCAGTCCTAAACCCAAATAAAAGCTTCTATCAACTGCCAGAAATCAGCTCCTACTTTGTCTTGTAAGAAAACATTTTCTGGTTAGGAGGTCATGGATGGTGGTTTTAAGTGTGCCAATAACACTTTGTTTCATTCTCGTTGCTGTAATGTCAGAAGCCTCGACAGCTGACATCAGAAATGTGATCCAACTGGGCTGAGTGGCTGGTTTTCTTAGCGTCATCGACATGATCTCACCTTATTTCTGGGCCATGGTCCAGCTGGTGACAGTGAGGATCCAAATGTAGATAACTGAGCAGTTCAGCGTTTATAATGGCAAAAAAAAAGAAAGAAAAGAAAGATACAAAAGCTCAAAGAAGCGTGAGGTGGGCCAGGAAGTCAGTACAAACAGGCAAAAACACCAAGCAAGTTTCAAAAACAGGCAGGTAACATGTTAAAGAATGCAGATAACAAACCGACGGAGCCTAGAAAAGTCATGAGGCCTTACTTTGACGATCTGGAAGAGAGAACGAATGCAACTGGGCCGGTTTATGTGGCGAGAGGCTGATGAGGGAATGAGATGCAGGTGGGGAAGGCCAGGCAACTGCAGCGCAGATTGGGGAGGTGGGAACAGGTGTGTTGATAGGCGGGTCGGTCAGGTGACGTGGGAGAGGAGAGAAACTCCGAGGGGCATCTGGTGGATGGAAGGATGGCAATGGTTTTGGTTTGGGGAATAGGCCTTATTTCAGGGAAGACATTTTGACACGTCACAGTCGGAAAAAAGCACAGGTGTAAATAATTAAATGAAGGACTCAATTCCATTTAGCTGTTTTGATTTCAGGTTCTTAGTATCTCACATGCTCGCTCCGTAGAAATAGAATAGGGGTGGAACAGACTTTCCCATTCAACTCAACAGGATGGTCAGAGCAGTGGCCATTTTTATGTCACCGTTGCGTCTTTTGTTGCGGGCTAACTTCTGTATTAACTAAACTGTCAGATGAGTGACAACTTTGTTTGGCTCATTTTCTGTTATTGACAAGCTAGCTAGCTAACTAGCGGACAGCAGGCTAGTTAGCTAGCTTGCTAACACCCCCGTGCTTTAATGCTACACTGGTTACAGAAAAAAAAAATTTTGTGGCATGAGATAATGGAGATAAGTACAATAAGACATCGTGATCATTCAATGCTGAACTCGAGGTCTCGAAACGGCGGTCCACAAACCGACGAGTGACTCCACAGTGACTACGTCCATTTCTTATACATTCTGTGTGTAGATATTTGTAGGATTCAAATATTTTGCACTAAAATGTCAAAACTTGGACCTGAACCCATTAACAGCTAGTGCTGTTGATGGATTCGAAGTTTAGTTACTTTTTATTATCTGGATATTGTGAATGTCACAATACCTTTTTTAACAAATAAAAGAAAGAATACAAAAAATAAAGTTGATGGGTCACGATTGCAATGTATCACAAAAAAAATAAGTCACAATCACTGCTTTTAGTTGACTACATTTTCCACCAAACCACAAACCCAAATCAAGGACTCAGATACAGCATGTGTGGGTAATGAAGGATTTCTCCATCGTAGTGCTACTGTTCACTAACTGCCTGACTCCCAGTAATCAGCATAAAAAAGCAGTGAAGTCTGTGGTAACAATTTGAGGGAGGTGTGAACCAGGATGAAGCAGATAACTGGCTTCAAGGTTGGAGGGAGACAACCAGGGGGCTCCCTGGAGAGGGCCAGTGAGCTAAACTGTTTCTTCAATAGGTTTAGTTCACAGCCCTCATCTGTGTCCTTCACACACCACACCTCACAAACATCTCTGCTGCCTCCCCTCTCTGTCCCCCCAGGTGAGCTGCATGGACACAGAGCCCTCAACATCAAAGGGCACCACTGACACCATGACCCCCCTCCCCCCTCTCTCTGTGACGACTGGCCAGGTTAGGAGACAGCTGGAGAGACTCCACCAATGCAAGACTGCAGGACCTGACGGCATCAGCCCCAGGGTCCTGAAGCCACCCAGCTGTTTAATGTCCTGCAACACCTCTTCAACCTGAGCCTGAAGCAGGAGGAAGTCCCGGTGCTGTGGAAGACATCGTGCCTGGTTCCTGTTCCTAAGAAGATGACTCCATCTGGCCTCAACGACTTCCCACCCATTGCCCTCACATCTCATGTGATAAAGGTGCTGGAGAGGCTGGTCTTGGCCCACCTCCGACCGCAGGTGAAATCCTCACTGGACCCTTTGTAATTTACATACCAGCCTCATGTGGGAGTGGACGACGCCATCATCTACCTGCTGCAACGAGCTCAGTCGCAACTGGATGGAACCGGTGGCTCTGTGAGAATCACTTTCTTTGATTTCTCCAGTGCATTCAACACCATCCAACCAGTGCTGCTGAGTGGGAAGGTGCAGGTGGTGGGAGTTAACGCATCCACTGTCTCCTGGATCACTGACTACCTCACGGGCAGACCACAGTTTGTCCGACTGGGCCGTGTGCTGTCTGATACGGTGGTCAGTGGTACTGGAGCTCCACAGGGAATTGCTCTGTGCCCCTTCCTGTTCACCTTGTACACCACTGACTTCCAGTACAACTTGGGGTCATGCCATCTGCAGAAGTTCTCTGATGACTGTGCAGTGGTCGGGTGTATAAGGGACGGACGGGAGGAGGAGTACAGGGCAGTAGTGGAGGACTTTGTGCAGTGGGCCGGTAGAAATCACCTGCGTCTGAACGTGGCCAAGACCAGAGAGATGGTGGTCGACTTCAGGAGGAAGACGACGGCTAGGTCTCTACCAGGTCTCTACCACGGCGACAGACCCTGCTGCAGTAAAATGAGAGCTTAGATAAGTGAAAGATTGTAAAAGTTACCTAAACGTAAAACTATGAATTGTTGCAGCTTTAATAGGTTGTATTATGCATGAATGTTTTTATTGTTAATTACTGCTATAGACTGTCGTTGGAGAGTATGTGTGTGTGTCTTCATTGCACCATGGGGATGTTTCTGCATAGATCCTGTGACTTGGATCACCTCATTATTTTTGCAGGACTCCATTCACATTTTAACATTTTCTTCACAAAAGGTTTTTCTTTGACAACACAATCCATTGTTGAAATATTTAGCAGAAGCATCGCCACAGCTGAAAAACACGTGTATGATTACATTTGCTGCAGGACGAGTTAAGCTGCACAAGGACACAATAGTTTTATTTCAGATCAACCCATCACAACAAAATAAAGTAGAAA